GGATCAGTCTGGTTTGGATCAGTCTGGTTTGGGTCAGTCTGGTTTGGGTCAGTCTGGTTTGGGTCAGATTGGTTTGGGTCAGATTGGTTTGGATCAGTCTGGTTTGGGTCAGTCTGGTTTGGGTCAGACTGGTTTGGGTCAGTTTGGTTTGGATCAGTCTGGTTTGGGTCAGATTGGTTTGGGTCAGATTGGTTTGGATCAGTCTGGTTTGGGTTTGGGTCAGACTGGTTTGGGTCAGATTGGTTTGGATCAGTCTGATTTAGGTCAGTCTGGTTTGGGTCTGTCTGATTTGGGTTTGGGTCAGTTTGGTTTGGATCAGTCTGGTTTGGATCAGTCTGGTTTGGATCAGTCTGGTTTGGGTCATTGGTTTGCTTCTGTTTGGCCTGGTTCTGGTTCTGGTTGAGGCCGTCGGGCCTATCGTCATCTTGATGTGTGTCTAGTTGTTGCGTTGCTGCTCACCGCCTCCCTCTGCTTTCTGCCTCAGGTGTCTTGATGGCCTGATCACAACACAAGCTGAACCTTTTCCACAAGCCGATTTTGAGGGCCTATTGAGGAGCTGGGAGACTGGCGCTCCTCTGACTGGGAGGACTGGGAGCAGAACCAGTGGAGGACATGGAGGACTGAGGGACGTTTGTCTCCTCCACCAGGACCCTCGTTTTCAAACAAACGCTGCAGATTCAGTCATCAGTTTCCTGTGGCTTTACTGTGCTTTGTTGCCATGCCAACGGTGCCAATGTCTTCATGTGTGAGTGTGACTGTACATGCACCAGCCAGAACCCAACCCGGCTGAAACGGATCAGCAGGGTTCTGTCTGATACTGAAGCTGGACATCAGCTCAGATACTCTGAGTCAGACTGCGCCCCCTGCTGGACAGCTTGAACATTTTACTGTGATGTGGTTCCTTGGTGACATCTAGTGGCGCCTCTGAGAACAGCAGAAAATCAGGAACCCTGCTGTTGAAACCACAAGATCTGTACAGGTCCAGTTCTGTTTGAGAACCAGAACCAAGCAGAACCAGTTGAACCGTTCTGGTCAGGATGAAAACCTGCAGGAGGTCCAAACGGCTTACAGACCAGAACCGTCTGACATCAGGGTCAGACCAGAACCACTTTGTTCCAAGTCACTGCCAGTAAGTGAAACTGAAACCAAACAGCTTTCAGATCCAAGAATTAGAGTCCAATTCCTGCCTTCAGGACCGAGGTACCGGTAGAACCAGAACCGAGCCCCAAAAAGCCTGATGGAGAGTCAAAGTCTGGAGGTGGTTCTGGTCCAGTTTCAGTTCTGGTCCCAACAGAGAGAGGAGAACAAGTTGACCTGCAAGTAGAGGAACTCTTTCCTGATGTGGACCAATCAGGAGACACCACCTGAGTTCTGATTGGCTAGGACTGAAGTTCAGAACAGAACTATCAGAACCGTTCTGCTCTGCTGGTACTGCCTAAAGAACGCCAACCTGAACCGACCCGAAAGTCAGACCTGGAAGTGGTTCTGACCCAGAGTCAGATTAAATCAGATAAACTCGGGACCAACAAGTCAGACGGGTCCAAAAACCTACGAGACTGAGATGAGAACCAAGACAGAGTGACCCGAGTCGGTGGCATCCAGCTTTATTTCTTCACATTCTGTTCAAATTGTCTGATTATAACTAAAAATACCCTGATATGGATGCATGATGGATGGATGGATGATGGATGGATGCATGATGGATGGATGGATGATGGATGGATGCAGCTGCTCTTATCCATCGGCCTAGTTAAAGGACGTGTTGTACAGAAATCTATTTTAAAGAATAAAGGAGCAGGATCATTCAGTGTCTGAACTTTATTGATCAGGATAATAAATACATCAGTAATAATAATAAATATCTGCTGAAGGTCACAAACTATTAAATAAAACTTAAATAAGCACCAACAAGGCGGGACGCCTCCTGACGCCAAACTTAGTGGTCAGTTTACACAACTTGATGCAAAACTCTTCAGAGAAGGCAGCGACTCAGAACTAGAGGTTCTGGACCTGGTTCTGGACCCAGTTTCACTCCTGGACATGGACCAGGTGCCGGACGCAGGTGCAACCCACAGGGACGTTACGGGTCTCCAGGCGGTAGTGGTAGCTATGCTCCGTCTCGTTCGTCTTGACCCGCTTCAGAACCATCACCTGGTACCAGATGGGCCGGGACTGCAGGTTCTGGTCCTCCTTCCCCTCCAGGTCCCGGCAGCCCTTCAGCAGGCAGTGCGCCTCTGACAGCACGGGCGGGTACAGAGACTCGTCACGGGACGTACTGCAGACAGAGACGGCGGGTCAGAACAGAAACTCAGTGGGACATGGCAGGACCCTGCAAGACCCAATGGGACTTGACGAGACCCAATGGGACCCGGCAAGACCCGGTGGGACCCATTGGGACCCGGCGAGACCCAATGGGACCCGGCAGCTGTGTACTCACTTGTAGGTCCAGGGCGAGATGGAGGCGTTGTGCAGCGGCCTCGGGTTCCTGCTGGGCAGCAGCAGCAGGTCCGGGTCCAGGTGCAGAGACACGGTTTGCTTCACTGAGCCGTCGGAGCGTTTCCTGGGGTGCTTCGACGCCACCTCTGCCATCATCAACATCGTTACCATGACGACGGCACCGATGACCTGAGGAGGAGGGAGTCGACCTTCATTAGCCAGTCAGTAGAGAATGAATCGTCTCCAGGGTTACAGCAGGAAGTTCTTGACATTATATCCCATAATAATAATAAAAATCTCCATGGCGATGCAGGAGCCACTAAAACCTCCTATTGGCGAGAAGCAGCTTCAGTCAGAGGCTTCCTCAGAGCCACTGCGACGCAGGCCTCTACAGCAGCTCTCTGAGGCCCAGAATTATTTCACTTATTTTTAAAGATTTTTTGAATCAAACAGAAAATGCTTCAGAACCGGTTCTGCTCAAAAACCGGACTGGGCCCAGAAGTTCGATAAAGAAAACAGAAATAAAGCTCAATAAATCAGAGGCTGACTGGACCCTACTGAGCCAATCAGAACCATGTACCGGGTCTGCTTCAGATGAAGACAAACCATCGCCATTAGAACCGGACCCGGCTTAGAGCTGATCGCAGAACTCATCAGAACTTTCCTCACCGTCAGTCTGGAACTGTTAGCTGCTGGAAACATGCTGGTTCTGTCCGGTTCTGTTTGACTCGGATTGGTCCGGTTCTGTTCTGCAGGGTTCCCAGGGCTTGGCTGGAGGTCAGGCGTGGATGTGCGTCTGCGGCGTCCTGCCCGGTTCTGATGATCCGGTGTAAACAGCCGGGTTTTTTATGCGCCTCGTCGTGATGTCACCACCTGAGAGCGTTTGATCCTCCTCCTTAAACCGCAGCGACCCGGCTGACGAGGCCCGCGGGCCGACCCAGTTTCAGGCGCTCCTCAGGATGAAACGCTGAGCTTCGAACCTGGCAGCAGATTTTCTAGGTCACGCTCTGCAGAGGCAACCAGGAAATGAGGCGAAGCGTCGGCGCGGTTCAGCCTCCTGAGATGCTTCAAAGGTCCAATTTATCACGAGCCACAAAGAACCAATCAATCAACCAACCAGTCTGACTAGATGCTTTTCCTGCTGAAACTCATCCTGCAGCGTCTCAGTCAGATTTAAGCCCAAACTTTAACTAGGCCGCTCCTCCATTATGAACATTATGTTTCCATCCAATTATCAGGAAACTTTAAACAAACTTCTAAAATGTTACAAAAACTAAACAAATGAGCCGTTTTTCCATGTCGCTAACTAGCATGTAGCACAAAGATGGAGTCAATCTGTTCTCTCTGCTGCAGCATCGATTCTTTTTTCAGAACATTTTTTGATTCACCCCAAGCGAACCAAAAACTTTGTTATTGTGAAACAGAGGAAGTTATTTCTAATGCAAAACCTCAAAATGTGCATAAAAGCGTCAGAGGAAACACTGTGGCTTCGTCCTACTTCATGCTGTCAGCCGGTTCTGTTTAATGGAGTCCCTGGTCCTGAGTCAGCATGCAGCGATCAGGACCAGCAGGCCAGGAAGTGATGTCAGCTAGGCTACACCGGGACGCTAATCTGAACTCGACCTGCAGGATCAGAACCGCAGGCGAACCGGACCCACAGCCAGCAGAAACCGCTGAGTCAGGCGTTCTTTCTACTGCAAGAACAAAAAATACCATCGGGACGACAAAAGCGGCTCTGACTGCGCGAATTAGCACAATATAAATAAATAAAGTGCCGGGAGATCAGTGATGAGCCGATACTTCCATGTGATGTCACCTCATCAAAGGTCCAATAGTCAGCCTCTGTCCTGTGCTAGCCCCGCCCACCAGCCAAGCCCCGCCCACCAGGTCATGTCTGCTCCCCACTGTTACCAACTCAGACACTTTCTTGCTTTATTCAGTAAAATTTCAGATAAAAATAATTAGTTTGAGCCAAAATCAGAATCGGCAGCTCAGGCTTTTTAACGGCTAAGAAGTAAAACAAGGTGAGCTGAAAGCTGCAGGTAACACCCATCTGGAGAAAATGTCACAGAGCCGCAGAACGTTTCTGCAGAAAAGATTCGACACAAACTGTGGAGTCCAGGCCCGGTTCTGGTTCTGCTGCTGCAGGACGGACATGTCCCCCCACTCTCTCTCTCTGTGAACCTCGGGGAATATTCCAGCGGTTGCAGATCGTTTCTGCTGCAGATTTCAGAAGGAGATAATCTGAAGGTTTCGGTTCTGACTCACATCATGATCTCACTTCATGTCAGAGGTTCCATGTTGGTCTGCTGGATGCTGAACGCAGAGGGCCGGACTGGGGGCCCTCGGGCTCTGCAGGCCCCACTGAGGATCTTTGATCTTTGACTGATCCCTGTGAGGATCCTGATGGCCCCAGGTTGAGACCCTGGCTGCTCCAGGACCCCTGGGTTGATCCTGATGCAGAATCCCTGCAGGGCCCCCAGGCCTCAGCCTGGGGCTCCCAGGACCCCCAGGCTGAGGCCCCAGGGCTGCAGGACGCAGCCTGCTGACTCTCTGACCCGGTTTCCAGGCATGCTGTGACTCAGCAGACTCGGGTTGCTGCATCATCACTTGTGTGCTGCGTTGTGCTGCGTTGTGCTGCGTTGTGCTGCCCACGCTGTCAGCTCCTCTCTGACCTGCTTCCATGCAGAGCCACCGCTGCAGTTTATCTCTGATCTCAGAGACTTCCTGCCACCAGCGCTGCATGCTGCTGCTGGGGGCCTCAGACCAAACCTGCAGCCTTTTAAGGACTTTCACCAGTTTGTTGTGTTTATGTCTCCATGCTGCCTGACTCAGCTTTAAAATCCACACCATGCATTCACCGCCGTCTACCAGCAGGAAGTCCAGAAAACATTCAGGCCTGATACAAATACACAGAAGACAAAATTTAACAGCAGTTATAAAGTTTAGCTTCTGCTTTTTGGCAAGTGAATTTGCATATTAGCTAAATGTTTAGTTAGCCTGCAGCTAACTACATATTTAACCAGCTCAGAACTAAATATTTGGTTTACAGCTAAATAATTAGCTTGTTCACTATTTACGGAGCTAAATGTTTTTGTATTTTTTTTTTAAATATTGTGTTCATTAGGTATTTTGAATTTTTTTACAGAAAGAAAAAGGAAAGAACAAAAACAGGACAGAACTTATACAGCACCGATACAGAGATCAACAAAGAAACAAAACAAAAAATACATGTACATAAATTACAGCAATTATTTGAGAAAAGTAATGAAATGGAGCTAAACTTTTATTTCTGAACTAGCTAAATATTTAGCCTAATAATTAGCTTGGAGTTAGCTCTGCGCTGGCTGCTGGTGGTGAGGATGACAGCAGGGTGTGAAAACTTTCTGCTGGGTTAAAACCTTCATGAAGTTGAAGGATCTCCTGGACCTGCTAGTGATTCTCTGGCATCATGACCTGCATTCAATTTCAAGTTTAAAATGTGGCATGACAGAAGTTTAGATGAACAGAAGATAAAATGTGAGAAGGAGAAGCAGACTGGCTGGTAATCGGGTCGGACATTAGCGTGAGGCGTCAGCCGGCTGTAGAAACACAAACATGATGTCATCCTCCGCTAACCGGGTCACACAGAGCTTCTTTCTAGGACCTGAGCTGCTGCCTGGAAACACCCTCACAGCCGGAGGAGGGGCTTTCTGCGCTCACCACAAACCGCCGCCGACATCCAGGAACCGAACAGCGCCGCAGAACCGAACCCATCCAGGAACTGAACCAGCAGCAGGGTTCTGGACCAGGAGGGTTCTGGACCAGCAGCAGGGTTCTGGACCAGCAGCAGGGTTCTGGACCAGCAGGGTTCTGGACCAGCAGCAGGGTTCTGGACCAGCAGGGTTCTGGACCAGCAGGGTTCTGGACCGTTGGTTCGTCAGTCAGAATCAAAGCCACTAAACGCCTGGATGAGTTTCTCTGGTCCTGAAATGTTCTGCAGCTGCTAGAAGGACCACTGTGGAACCGGCTTTATGTGGCTCTGGAGGTCAGAGGTCAGAGGTCATCCTCATCTCTGGTTTACAGCTGGACAAATTGAAGCTGTGCATTGACTCTAGATCTATAACTCTAGATTGTTCCTCTTTAATAACTTCATCCACACATTGATCTGTTCTCAGCATCTGTTCAGTGATTGGATGGGGTCAAAGGTCACCTGGTGACTTAAGCAGAGGGACCAAACAATTGTACTAAAGTAAAAGTAGCTCTACTTCAAGACATTTTTACTCAGTTAAAAAGTATTTGGTAAAAATTCTGAGTAATTAATCAAATAACCAATATTTAAAAGTTACATCAAACAGACCAGAATATAAAGTGGAAATTTTGGTGTTTTAAAGTCCAAAATTAAAATAATATAAATAACTACAAAATAACTAAATCAGGCAAACGAGTCATTTTTCCGTTTCTGAAGCAGAAGCTGCAGGTTTGTGTTTGGTGAAAGTTTGTGAAGAACTCACTGAATATTTACTCAAGACTATTGATATTTGATAATATAATTACTCAGGTAAAAGTTCAAAGTACAGCATAATTAAAGCACATTTTTATCAAAACGTTACTGCAGTAAATGCAACAGAATTCATACGACCAGCTCTGTCTGAGTCAAAGAAATGTCGCAAGTTTTACATTTTGAACTGTCTGAGTTTGTGAAAGATAATCAGTTATGTTAACTATTCATTTTGTTATGTCTAAATTAGCACTTTAAAAAATCTTAAAAGGCAGGAATGGCGACTAGTTCCCAGAATGCCTAGCAGCAGGTTGTTGTTTTACTCTGATTAAAATAAATGTGAGCAGAATTCAGTCGATGTTTAATAAAATGTTTGTTCATGCAAACTGAATGAAGAAATCTAATCCTAGCTTAAAATAAGTTATAACTCAGTAATGAAAATAATACAGAAAGCTTTTCTTGTTCAACTAGTTGAGGAAAGCTTGGTTGCATAATTTAACAGGATTACTTTTATTTAAATTACAGTATTAAATTTTAACAACTCAGACTGAAGTTATCAGAACTTGATGCTTAGAAAACGTGTCTCTTAATGAACTTTAATTTGTGAATTAAATCAAAAACAAGTGAAACTTCATAACTGTCAAACTCAGTAAGTGTTCCTGTAATAATGATTAATGTTTGTTTCATTTAGTTGAATCAGTTTTCAGTCTGACTGTGGAGTTCAGACTTCATGGGTCCTGAAGGTAATTTTATTTATACAGCACATTTTCAGCAACAAGGCCATTCAAAGTGCTTTACATGAGTTAAAAGTACAAACAAAATAAACCGAACGAACAAAAAAGAGGAAAGAAAACTAATCTAACGTCGTTCTAAAGAATGTAAACTAAGTTCTCCTGTGC